TGTAGAAAGATGCTAAATGAAAGATGAACTCTCTGAAAATTGTTGTAGGGGAACCATGCTAATACTCTGAACGATCAGATCTTTGGTATTTAAGAAAGCTTCCTTCGCCCTGTCTCTCGCCTCCATAGTCGAAGAGGTCTCAGCTTATTTCTAGAATGACGCTCTGCCTTTCTACCCAGATGGCTCAGCGCCAGGTCTCATAGAATCATGAGATCTCCCAGTTGGAAGAAGTTCTATGATTCTAGAATGATCAGTCTTGAGAGGGTGGGACCTTAATTCTTCTCTCATGAAACGCAGGTTTTGAGGCTCCTTGGGTAGAAATGAGGGACTTGGGACACAGAAGGTTCCATCGCACTAGCTGAAACATAGGCTCTTCTGAGGCAGGCGCTGTGTCTTTTGCACCTGGGTGTCTCTTGCAGAATTTAAGACAGTCCAATTGTCTACTGATATGTCATATCCCCATAGGCACTTCCAACTTCACATGCTCAAAACCAAACTAGGGCCTTTCCTCTCCCAACCTGACCCAAGACCTCCCCATTTCAGGGTGTATTTGCTACCTAAGTGTTATGCGCCCCCCTACCCAGAGGTTCTGCTAACCTTATACATCTGTTCACTTATCTCCACCCCTGCTGCAACTACCCATGGCCAAGACAACCTCTCTCGCGCTTGGGTTAATGCAGCAGGCTCCCAGGAAGTCCTCCTGCTGCTCTCATGGCTTCACCCTGGACTCTCCATAATCCATTCGCCACACAGCCACAAGAGTGATCAACCTTTCTGAAGATCAAATCACACCATTCTCTTGCTTAAAACTCTCCAATGCCTTCCCACTGCTCTTAGTACAGAACCGAAACTCCTTTGTAAGATGACCACGGGAGCTGGCCCTGCTGATGTCTCTGATTTCGACCTGAAACACTTTCTTCTTCAAACATGTTAAACTTGTTCGCACCACCAGGGCATTTACATGAGCTGTTCTCTCCTCCTGGAATGCTCTTCTCCTAGAACTTTATGTGGCTGGCTCCTTCTCATCATCAGGTCTCAGCCTAAACATCATCTCCTAGAGAGAGGTCTTCTCTGACCTTCCCAGATAAAGCAGTCCTCCCCTTCGCCTCTCATTCTCTATCTCCTTGCTCTTTTTGTTTTCTAAGTGACGTGGTGTATTTATTTGATTTCTTGCTTATTGCCTGTCTCACTCCATTCGAATAGTGGCACAGGGCCCGGGCGTAGTGGCTCAAGCCTGTAATCCTAGCATTTTGGGAGGCCGAGGTGAGAGAATTACCTGAGCCTACGGGTTCAAGAACAGCCTGGGCAACTCGGTGAGACGGCATCTCCACAATAAATAAAAAATTAGCTGGGTGTGGTAGTGCACGCCTGTAGTTCTGGCTATTTGGAAGGTTGAGGCAGAAGGATCGCCAGAGCCCAGCAGGTCGACTCTGGGGTGGCCGTGAGTGTGCTACTGCACTCCAGCCTGGGTGACAGAGTGAGACTCCAACTCAGAAAAAAAAAAAAGAAGAAAGAAAAAAAAATTAACAGCACCGGGGTTGAGTTCAGACCCCTAGCACCTAGAGCAGGGCCTATCACATAGGGGGGCTCTATATTTCCTGAGCTAAATAAGCACATTAACTGGATTCGGCCACTTGGCTGGGATGCAAAATTTTACAAGTTGTCACCGTCCCTTCAGAACTTTGCTGAACTCCAGCCTCCCCCAGCAAGACCCGCCCTCTTAATGATACTGGACTTCAGATCTCAGAGAGTTAGCTGTGCTCTGAGTCCCTTGAAAACCACAGAAGCAATCCACTAAGAAATAGGGAATTTAAGCAAGACACAAAGAAGAACTTCCTCATGGTAAGAACTATAAGGTGCTGAAAGCAGGGAGGAAGGTTGGGGAGGAGTGTGACTCTATCTTTTCCAGTGAACCCACTGAGTTCTGCCATGTCTAACGGATCGCATCCCCTGGCTTTAACCATTTTAAATCCTTCTGTTCAGCCGGGCTCGGTGGCTCAGCCTGTAATCCCGCGCCTTTGGGAGGCTGAGGTGAGTGGATTGCCTGAGCCCACGGGTTCGAGACCCGCCTGGGCAGCGAGACCTCATCTCTACAATAAATTAAAAAATCAGCCGGGCGTGGTAGCGCGTGCCTGTAATTCCGGCTACTTGGAAGGCTGAGGCGGAAGGGTCGCTGAAGCCCAGCAGGTCGAGGCTGCGGTGGCCGGGAGCGGCCACTGCACTCCAGTCTGGGCGACAGAGTGAGACTCCAACTCAAAAAGAAAAAAAAAGAAAATCCTTTTGTTCAACTCCTTCCTCATGCGGTGCTTTTCCACCTCAGACACCGAGAGAGCCTAGCCTTCTACTCAGGCGATCAGCTATTGTCAGAGGCCTCACTGGAGCCCATACCCAGGAGGAAGATGGGACCCCCGCCTGGCACCTCCTGCCAGCCTGCTGTGTGTGGGAGATAATAGCCTACGAAATTACGTTTGCAGACAAGCTCACAATTCTCAGTGAAGAGAAATTCACACAAAAGGGGCAAGAGACCCCTAGCCTTTCTGGGTTCTTCCCCCAGTGGGTAATTTAGAGATCTTCCCTCATGCCTGTGTACGGTGGGGCTCTGTTTTAGACCCTGCGTTGGTCCCCAGGGGACCAGCCATGACCTGGAAAAGGAGGGCACATTTCAGAGCCCTTCTAGTCCCTGGCTTTTCTCCCGCCCTCGCTGCCCTGGGCTGTCTCCTGCCTCCCCTCTCGGGTCTAGCCCTCCACAGTGATTTCGCACCTTCCCTCCAAAACAGCTTTTCCCTAAGATCTCCCCAGCCCAGCTCTGCCGGCAGACAACCTAACAAAGAGCCTCCATAAGGCTGGGCGGCAGACGGCTTATCAAGATATACGTCCTTGCTCCTCGTCCTGACTGTCACCTCTGTGCTGCTTTGTCATCACTGATAGCAAAACAAAACAGCCACGCACGCGCACACATATAGATGCGCACACGTGGGTTTGCACACTCAGGAATGATCCCTGCCAAGCGCAACGGTCCCAGGAGTCAGAAACCCCAGCCTTCCCCTCCTAGCCCTGGTATTGGCCTTGTTCTCCCTCCTCTTCTGTTGTGATCACCCTGCACATTTAACCGGATGGAGACAGTAGGGTGGGAGGGAGTCCATCTTTTGTAACAATCCGTGGGGGCTCAGTGAATACCCACAGACTGGCCAGGACCGGAAGGGAGACCAGCGATCTCAACCCACCTCCTCAATCTATGGGACAGGAACCCAAGGAGCGTGGTCCGGGGCTGCCGAGTTAATTAACCGACTAGTAGCTAGGCACTGAGCAAGAGTCTTAGCTCTGGGGCCCGTGAAGCCCAGGCTTGGGCTCTTCCATCTTCATTCTTTGCTTGCTGGACAAGAAGTTTGTAGGATGTGGAAGACACGGAGTAGGTGAGGCAGGTCCCTTTTCTTGAACAGCTCACGGTGCAGGAAAGGAGATAAAACACCACGGAAAGCTGCTGTACAACTTCTTCTGGAACAAGAGCCACAAGAGTGGCCAAAGACAATGCCACGGGTCAGAGGAGAAGGTCAAGTCCTGTGGGATTTCTGGGAAACTTTATATCAGAAGGGACATTCTGGTTGAGTTTCTAAGGAAGGGCAAAGTCACCTATGGGTGGAGAGAGCGTTCCAGGCTCAGGGGAGGCAGCAAGTGTGTTTAGGGGGAGGTGAGAGCCTCGTTTGCTTGAAGAGTGGGGTGCGTAGGGTGTATGGTCCTTGCAGGGGGAGAGGCGGGAAATTCCCGAGAGGTCAAAGACACGCTCTCTTCCTCCTGGGACAGCAGTCCAAGCCCTGCACTGTCAGACAGAAGACAGCAGAGCAGACAGGAGGGTGCAGGAGCAGCCTTTCAAGGGCGACCTGGTCAAGGGGGTTCCCCAGCTTTCACCCCCAGGAAAGCAGGTGAGATAGAAGACAGATGCGAAAACACCCTGACACACCACCAACGCGATGCTCCATCTGGTTTTGAGAGATGCAAAGGCAGGTCATTGAGGGATCGGGCTCTGGGCTGGGAGGTGGCCCCTGGCTTCCCTGTGGCCTAGTCTTGGGCTTACTCTGCTCTTGGATGGGCCATGCTTCTCACTTCTTGGAATCTCCATTCCTCTGCCTTGCTTTGTCCTGATTGGTTAAGAAAGAGGCCCCTGAGTTCTTGGATATCAGTCTTGACCCTTGGCATGCCTGACCCAGCACAGAGAAGAGCAAGGAGCCCTGGGAAGCCAGACACCACCCCCCCACCCCACACCCCCACCCCCCTCACCCCCGGGCACCGAGCACACTCTCTGTGCCCTCAGGAGCCCAGCAGGGCAGCCCCATCCCCAAGGCTCCCAGCCCCCTTACTCTGACATTTTGCTCCCCGGCCTGGCCTGCGGTGGCCAGGCCCTGAGGCTGGGCGACCCCTGCACGATGCCGCGGCCTCTGGTGTGGTGTGGCCCAGGGCCCCTCTCTGGAGGACCGCCCATGGGTTCCGTTTTTCCTTCTCCCACAGGCAGAATGAGAGACACTGCCCTGCATGGACCGAAACGGGAGACAGACCCAGCTTCCCGGGGGGGACCTCGACGGGGACCAAAGTCAGCCGGCTGGCTCTGTGGTCTGGCCCTGCTCCTCCTGCCCCAAGGGGAAGGGGAGACAGGCGACAGGGACGGGAGCCGGGCGCAGCCAGGGGTGAGGGAGGGGAGAGCCTGCAGGCGCGGGAGGAAGATGGAGGTGCTGGCGAGCCGCTTTCCTCCTCCCCAGCGTCCCAGCGATGAATCCACAGGCGCCTGTTTCCCCGAAATGTGAGCGCGGCCAGGGTGAGCGCTGCCCTCGCGGCCGGGGCACCTCCGTGTGCGCCTGTGTGTGCTGCCGCCGCTGTCATCACAGATGCACCCCAGCTGTCACTCGCGCGGGCTCGCTGCGCCCGCACACGCGCGCGCCCTCCTCCCTCTCCCCTTTCTTCCCCCTCTCCTCCGGCTCCCTCCGTCCCTCCCTCTTTCCTTCTCAGTTTGCGATTGACCCAGCAGCCTGGCCCCTCTCCCGCCGCGGGCATTCCTCCTCCCGGTGCTGTGGGCTGCGGGGAGTCGGGGCGACGGCCCGGTGCCCACGGCACTCTGCGGCCAGCGGCGCCTGGATTTCTCCAGGAATCCTAGGAGGGTCTCACTGGAGGGCTGAGAGCCACCTGACTGGAGGAGCTGCGAGCCATCGGACTGCAGGGAGGTGAGTGCTCCCGCCCGGGAGGTTTGGTGGGCACAGGGCCGGGGCTTGGGACCTGGGGACCCATCATCCTTGCTGGGTCTCTCTGCCCTATGGTTGCCTTCTGCCCGGGGGCAATTGCTGGAGCTGGAGAAGCAGCTCAGGGCTCAGGACTGAGCATCCCCAAGGTACAGAACACTGGGAACTCTGACCCCACAGTGCTGGGGACATGAGCTGTGGATTCTGCCGTGGAGGGGGCAGGGAGGGAAGGGGAGGGGGAAGGAGGGCAGTGCTGGTGCCAGATGACAGCCCCGGGTGGCATAGAAACCAGTCCCTGCAGCATGGGGAGAGGCGGCCAAGAGCCTTGTGCTGTCTGCTTGCCCAGCTTAGCACAGACAGCCCGAGGAACTCGGCCGGGGAAGGGGGTGGGATGGCAGCCAGCAGGGTGCTGGGGACAGGGCCGGAGCCCAAGAAGGCTTGGGGTGGGGGTGGCAGGGTGGAGGGCCACACTGTCCGAGGCATGGGAAGAGACCTGGGGTCCGGGCCTCCCTACAGGTTGCCCTAGTGCTGGTTTTGCTGCCTGCAGGTGACTGTCCTTGTTCAAGGGTGCAGAGGAGCCCTCTCCAGCTGGGCATGGGCCAGTGGGCCGCAGGCCCAGCCTCGCTGGTGGGGGTGAGGCTGCGAGTCGATGAAAAAAGGGGTATTGCAGCGCCTCCTTGCAAGCCTGAGGGTGAGACAGACTTGTGAGGACCGCTGGGGTGTCCCGCAGCTGAATAATGGGCCTCCAATTACAGATGGGCCAGGGTGCCTCAGTGGGGGTGGAACAGGGCACTAGGCTTGGGGGCTGCACCACCAGGCCATGCCAACCTGGCTTCCTGAGCCCGGGGGACTTGGACACTCTGAGCTAGAGCAGGGCAGTTGCTCTCAGCACCCCCGTCTGGGCAGTACCGGAGAGGGGTGCGGTCTGACCAGGAGTCCGAAGTTCAAATTCCCGTACCTCCCCGCATATCTGGGGCTGGGTTCCCCTCGGCCGCTCCGTCTCCCCCCTGCCCCAAACCCTTAAGCTGTCCACATTTCTGGGGGGAGGGGTGTCGGCACCTGGCGGTCAGGGCTCTTGGGGCAGTGCCTCCGTGTGACTCAGATTGACACCCCTGCAGCTTAGATAACTACATCAGGTGGGGGCGGGGAGGGAGCCAACACGTGGAGCTGGGGCGGGGAAGTCCAGCTGGTAGGGAAACCCGACAGCAGCTTCCGAGCTGCCAAGAAGAGCCCAGCTTTTCCCACCCCCACCGCCCCACCGGCAGAAAGTCTCCAGCACTGCCAGAAGAGGAGACCAGGAAAGCCAGGCCTGGTGGGGGCAGGGGTAGAAAGATTTCTTAAGCGACAGATTCGCTTCTTGGGGGTTTGACTGGAAGCTGCCTCTGGGTCCAGGATGAGCAAACCCTACCCCAGGCCCATGGCCACTCCTGGACTTTTTGGTCTGAGGGCGCAGCACAGGAGGGGAGCAGGGGAGGGTGTGTGCGTGCAATGGTTGGGGGTTTCTGGGGGCTCTAAGTGTGGGGAGAGGAGGAGGGAATCAGGCTAGTGGTTGCCTGTCCCTTCTGGATCTTTCTCTTTCTGCCTCCAGATCAGGCCTCCCCCGGGCCCTACCTGGGGACACCACTCTGAACCCAGCTCCAGGGCTCAATGGACACCTTAGCTTATTCATGTCAGAGAGAGGCTCTGTTTGGAGCTGAGAATATTTGACAAGGAACCGAGGGTGCAGAAAGCTGGGGGTGAGAACAGGGCATGTGTTTTAAAAGCAACCAGGAGGGTATATGTCTGTTCCAAGTACAAAGAGAGAGATTTTTTAAAAAACCTGCCTCTTTACTGCCCGGGTGGTGTGTGGTTTGGGGGTGACATGGGGGAAGGAGATCTAGAATGTTTCCTAGAGGGCCTGGATGTCCAGACCGGTGGCAGCAGCTGGAGAGCCGGCCCGGATGGCGGTGGTAGCCTCCGCTGCATCCTAGTCATACAAAACCCTGGAACCTCTGCTGCACGGGACTTGGGCTCAGATTGTCCACTGTCCTGGCACCATCTCAGCCCTCATGGGGTCTGCCCCCGTAGGCCCAGGGCCGGGCCCTGGCTCTGCCTCTGACTGACCCTCTGCAGAGTGAAGGGGATGGCAGAGGAGACTCTGAAGTCCCCTTTTATCACCTGGATTCTGTGACTCTCCCATGCTGAGGGGAGCAGAGGCCTTGTCCTGCGTCAGTGACCCTTGACCAAGAGGAGATACCAGGGAGGCAGCACACGGCGAGGCCAGCACAGTGGCCCGGGACTCAGGAACTCCAGGGTGGAGGCCCGGTGGGGATTAATTAAGCAGCTGTGCGGCTTGGACACTGGACATGGAGGGATAAACACGCGGAGAAGCATCAGAGGGTGGGCGTGGACACCAGGCGTGGACACCAGGCGTGGACACCAGGCCTATGGTGAGCATGCTGGAGGCTGAACAACCCTGTCTAGAGGATTAACCTTCATCTGTAGAAGAGAAAGGCCAGGCTGGGGAGAGTTGGGACTTTCCTACCCTACCTTAACCCCGTGCAGTGAAAGAGTGCCTGGGGCTGGCTGGCCAGGCGCTCCCGGGGAATCAGATCCCACCCCCAGTCTCCAGGGACCGCTGCAGCCCACTCAGCTCGTTGAGCACGTGGAACCCTCGGCTCCAATGGACCCTCCTGTTCCCTCTCAGCCCCCGTCAGCCCCGGCATCCCCAGAGCTGCAGCCTACCCTCCCTCATCTCAGCACACAGCCCCCCACCAGGAAGGCTTCTAGAAGGCCCCTTCCACCCTCTGTAATGTCTTGGCCTCCCAGGACTTAAAGAGGGGCGTTGGGAAGGGGGCACCTGGCTTGCGTCTCAGTCCAGCAAGTCACAAAGCCTGTTTCTTCACCAGTAGGGTGGGGATCAGGACAGCCGTCTTAACCGTCAATGAAAAGCAGCATCTCCCTTTCCCTGTCTCTGCCTTTCTTGTACCAGGAGCCTCCATGTGTAAGCAGATAGACTTGAATTAACAGCCAGACAGCTGGGGCTCAGAGCTGCAGTCTTCCATTTGCCTAGCCTTAGGCACGTTATTTAACTTCTGGTGCCTCAGTTTCTCCCATCTGCAAAATGGGCTGGTAATCAGAATACTAATCTCAGTGTTTGTGACCACGGTAATTGTTTCTCCTCAGGTCCCAGTCAGCTACTCAACGGGTCCTCAACGCTCAGAGACAGACCAGCATGGCCTCCTGGGTGGCTGTTTGTCCAGGCGGAGAGGTGCCTCGCCTAGTACCTCCTAAACTTGAATTTGTACTCAATGGCCCAGGGAGCTTGTTAGAGTGCAGATTCTGATTCAGTCAGTCTGGGTGGGACCTGAGACTCCACATTTCTAAAAAGTCCCCAGGCTAGACCAATGCTGCTGGTCCATGGACCACACTTTGAGTAGCCAGGTGCTAGAGTCAAAGCCCCATATTTCTCGTTCTCCGGGGTTCCCCTCTTGGCTGCTTGGAGCTCCTCAGTCCCATCCTTTCTCCAACAATGGAGGCCCAGGGACCCCGCTGGGGTCCAGCCCTTTGTCTGTGGTCTCTCTGTCTCTGGGACTGGGTTAGGAGTGGGTCCAGCTGACGAGGCTGTGGAACTTGGGGACAGGAGATCTTTCTGCCCCCCGTTCTGCACCTTAGGCAGGGACTTCCCTCCCAGACTGTGTTAATTTATTTCAGCAGCCATCAGTGCCTGTTGCAGCAGCTGCTCTCCAAGCTTCCCAATGTAGGTCACCCCCTTTCCTAAGGAGGCTCGACTCTTCTGGGGGTGGGAAGGGTCCTCTGGTTGGAGGTGTCTTGGTAGGCAGAGGGCCAAGGGGCTAGGAGATGCTGGCTCCAGCCCACGTCTCCCTAAGTGTCCTTCCCTGGGACACACACACACACACACACACACACACACACACACACATACACACACACACACTCATACGACTGCTTCCCTCTGCTGGATGTGCTGTTCTTCCTGCTCTCAGGAAGACCCTGGCATCTAGCAGGAAGCCCCAAAGGCTCACGGAGGCAGGTCCACTACCCAGGGAGCACAAGGTATCTCCACACGAAACTGGGGCCTTGTTTTCATCATATTTCTTCAGAGGCTACCCGGGTCCATGGCATCCTGCCACCCCGCAAGACAGACCTTGTGGGTCTGTGTTGTAGGGACTTGCCTGATTTGTTTTGGGCAGGTGACATCCTGTGCAAGGCTAGCATGGGGCGTGAGGACCTGTACCCGAGGTCGCCTTCTCCACTGATAGTCTGTTTGCTGGGTTCACACTGGGGGTGACACTGAGGGACAGAAAAGGGAGGGAAGAGGTGGAAAAGAGAAGCCTCCCCAGAGGAGGGCAAGGGCCTCAGGTGGAAACAGGGCCTGAGCTTGGGAGGGAGGGTTTCTCCAACACCTGTGTCCCTGCAGGAAGCCAGAAGGCGTGGGAACAGAAGTGGGGCCAGGCGCCATATGGGCCCTGAGCACAGGGAATATTTGGGTAAGGGGCTGCCCTGCAGGGATTCTTTCTAGACCTTATTTCTATGAGGGAGGTGTTCCTGTGCCTTTGTCTGCTGGGGGCATTTGGAACTTCGAGGCATCTCCCTCTGCTGCTGAGTGCTGGCATCTGGAGAGAGGTGGAGAAGACTTGCCAGCAAGGTGTGTGTGTGCGTGCATGTGTGTGTATGTGTGTGTGTGTGTGTGTGTGAGTGCACATGCATGCAAGAGCACGCGTGTTAGCACATGCCTAGCTGCACAGTTCTCTGTGGGGGTGTGTTTGCATCACGTGTTATGTACGGAGCTCCAAGCACGTGCCTGGGAGGCCCGTGTGTGTGCACTCTGCTCTGTGCACACACGAGTATCTCCCTACAAGGGCTGCTGCAGGGTGATAGTCGCCAGGGAGTGAGGGGCCAGCCTGGCTCAGAAGCTGCAACCTAGTCCCTGAGTCACCATGTGACCTTGGGAAAGAGGTCATCATCTCTGTGCCTGGGGAGGCGATTGAGTTGCCTGACATTTCACAGGTGCTGTGAGCTCCTGATATGATGGTTCTGGATGGAGTGAGATTGTTTTGAAGGTCAGGGCTTGAGGGACGGAGGGTGTGGACGCTGTCCTTTGTCTGCAGGGTTGTGTGTGTGTGTGAGGGGTGAAAATGCACCAAAGACATACCACAGGCCTGGGAAGGGCTCAAGAATGAGAAATAAGCCCATGTTTGAGGTTGGTGGGACCTGGGAAGGGAGAAGTCACAGACCTGATGCTGACCCTACTTCCTCTCCCAGGAAGGAGAAACTGCTGCTTCCTCAGACCTGTCATGGGCTCAGTCCCATGCAAGCTGGGAGGTGGGCGCTCGCCTGAAACTCTAGGGTGATGTGCACTTAGCGTATCCCTCTCTTCTCTTCCCTAGACTGGTCCTCATAGACATTTCACCCATTAGGTATCATGGCCACCACTCTTAGGCACAAGAAATCTGAAGTCAGAGAGTTTAAACAATTTGTTGAAAGTGGCTGGACAGAGAGTTGAACCGAGAGCCCACCTGCCTGTGAGTCTGTACCAGGAACCAGGCTGGAAGAGAGCAGTTAGAGAAGGACCTCAGAGATCCTCCTGGGGGGCTCTTCCACCCTCAAGCGAGGAACTCGGGTCCACCTAAAAGATGACTGCCACCGCTCCCACATCTGTGCCCAGTCTTGTGACCTCCATGCCGGCCCCTGCCGGGCCCTCTGTGAGTGGTGCCCTCGCTGCTGGAGGAAGAGGGGAAAGACACCCAGGGGGACTGCTTCTCCCCTGAGCAGGCTGCCCTTGCCGGGGGGGGGGGGCAAAGCAGACTGTCCTGTTCTCACTGAGCACTGCTGTGGCCACCTGAGGAGTACCCGAGGCGGGCGCCGGTGGAAGCAAAGGGGATGGGCCACAGGACCCCAGTCCCTGAGGCAAAGCCTGCGCAGAGCTGCTAGGATTCTGGGTTCAACACTCAAGCTTCCTGGCAGCTCCATCCACCTCCTCGGCTGTCAGTTTCACTCTGGCATGGGCGCCCCGGGCTCCCAGAATTAAGCGGGTTCACGGGGGCAGGGAGAGGGAGGAGTCTGGCAACCAAGGAAGGCCAGACTCTGGGAGTCAGCCAGGAGTAATGGGCTGCAAGATGGGTGTCCATGGGATTGTGAGGGGGAGGGGTGCAGGCATCTTCCCTCCTGGCCAGGCCATTCTCCAGCTGCAATGGGGGTGGAGCACTCATCAGCAGTACCCTGTCCCACTCCCCTGACGGGCTGGCAGCGAGGAGTCTCTGGCCTCCCATCTGGAAGGAGGTAGGGACCCCAGAGCGGGGCCTGTGTTCTGCGGAGGAGACACTGGGTGGGGCAGACCCTAGCAGGGGGAGCGCCCTGTGGGTCCCCTCGCAAAGAGAAGCGGCCTTCTGCACCCCTGGCCCGCCCCAGTGCCTCTGCTCTGCAATCTCACCTCCTCTGTGTCCCTGTCTCTCCCGTGAACAGCTGCTGCAGCATGAACCCCTGAGCTGATGAGTCTTATTATAGCCTGGCTGGCGGAAGACACAGCGCTGCGATTCACCTCTACGCGGGCGGCGGCGGTGGCAGTGGCAGTGGCGGGGGAAGCAGCGGGCCACCCAGCGGCTCACACCCGACCTGTCTGCAGACGCTGCCAAGGGCCTGGCCTCTGCCTCCCCGGGGCCATGGTGAGCAGCAGTGGGGCTGGTGAAACGGGGACTTGGGCAAGGGAAGCCCGTGGGGACAAGTGACAGGGACAGGTGATGGCTTGGGCCTGTGGCCTCACTCTGCCTGCCTCGAGAGATGTCCTCAGTTTCCCCACCTGTGACGGAGTGGGCCCGGAGAGGAGCCCATGTTGCTTTGAGAACATTATAGTAATCAGCATCCCAGAAGAGCAGCAAGAAGAAGCAGCGAGAGGCTGGGTGGGAACATGGGGGTCTTTCAACTCAGAGCTCAGGGCTATGAACAGCCTGAGGGCTCCTGGGGACACCTAGAGTCTGCCCCACCCCTGTCCCGGGGAGGTTGAAGTGTTCCTGGCTTCTCTCTTTCTGCTCCCTGGTTCCTCTTCTCCCCCACCCGGGACTCATAACGGAGGGAACAGGAGAGGGCATGAGGAGCGTAAAGAGACACCTGGGTCCTCTTGCTAACCCCTGGGCTGGAACGGGGCTTGAGCACCTGCCCTCCCTCCCCTAGGACTGACAGCAGCGCGCACCGAGGGCTCCTCTCTCCCCAGAGCGACAGGGCCCGGAGAGCCGTCGGGGGTTCACCATGCTGGCGCCTGGCAGCGGCTCTGAGCAGAGGACCAGGCTTGCCCTGCAATGGCGGCAGGTCTCTTGTGAGTAGCCTCCGGCCCTGAGAGGGGGACGCAACGGGTAGGTGGGTGGGAGGGTGCGAGAGTGGCGTGGTTGGCATGGCATGGAGTGAGTGGGGCGTCTTGGGTGGTGGGAGGGCCAGGACAGATCTTCCCGGGATGCCCGAGGCCGTGTACTGGGAAACTGGGGCCATGCCCATGGGAACAGCACCCACAATAGCCAAAGAAAGGTGGTGCTGAGCGTTTTAGTGGTCACATGGGGAGCTGGAGGCCATGCCAGCTGATCTGCCTTCCCAGGTAGTTCTTCGTGTTCTTCCCCAGGCTCTGAGCTCCCTGCAAGTAAAAATAAGGGAACACCTCTGCTGGAGAGGGGCCGGGCCTCCACAAGCTTAAAATAGAATGGATGGTGTCTGAGCCCGTCCAGCCTGTTTGACAGACTGTCAAGCCCTGTTGCTCTGAGACCTGCCGTCTTGTCTTGCCTCGGCCAGCAGCTGGGTGAGACTGGAAACGTCTCTCAGGCTCCCCAGGCATCAGTCAACTCTAAACAGAGGAACTTGGGATGCCGTGCTGGAGGAGACCTTAGGGATGGGGGTCTAATCCTTCTGCATATGGGCAAACGGAGCCCTCTGTCTCCCATAGAGAGCAGTGAATGTTAGTGAAGTGACCCTGGAAAGCCATCAGGGTGACAGGAGCCCTGAGAGTTCTCTTTAGAGGAGGCAGAGAGACAGACAAGGTCAGCGAGGGCTGGCCCGCCCAAGGCCCCACAATGAGAGGTAAGAAACCGTCCTGTGGGACGTGACTCTGCCTGACCGCTCCCCTAGCCCCAGTCAACCCTGCGATCCAGCTGCTCCACACCATAAGCAGCCTGAATTATTCACCACGTGAGAGTTGCTGGTCCCTGGGCAACTCAGATCTCCTTTCAACCTCGTTCTAGAATCACTCAACACCTTGCAATACAGGAATATATTTTCTTGTCACCAGAGCTTTTATACCACTCTGTATTTCCAGGGCAGAAGGTGGGGAGGCAGTGAGTTGCTCTTTTCACAGTGCTCTCTTCTGGTCCTGCTGCCAGTTCCACTCTGGGAGTGGGCAAGTGACTTCTAGCTATACTGATCCTTTTGAAAGGGAAGGTGGATGGGTTGAACTTTTTTTTTCTCCCTGGGAAAGTAAAGTCTGAAGAATGTTGATTTTCAAATGGCATGGGGGGCGGGGTGGGGGGTGGGGCAGGCTGACCTGGCAGCAGGTGGGCTCAGAGGGGTGAGAGGGTGAGAGGTAGCAGCAGGTGACCCTAGATAGCCGGAAAGGGTCTCCGGTTGGCTTCATGACCAGACCTATGCTCATTTCCCGGCAAGAACAAAGAGGCTCAAGTATCAGACTTGCATGTATCTCTCGGCTGTCACTGATCCTCCAGGCAGGCAAGGGGAAAAGTCTCGTCCTGTTCCCTCAAGCCCTGCCCTTTGGAGTATCAGACACCCAGACACACACAGGACAGAGTCTCAAGACTGCCCCATCCAGGCACCCAGGTCGAGATGGGGCCAGCTGGGCTTTGAGCTGTGTCTGAGCTTTTCCAATTTAGGGGACAAGAGGGCAGGTCTCATTAGAGCAACAGGGCTTGACAGTCTGTCAGACAGGCTGGACGGGGCTCGGACACCATCCAGTCTCCAACTGGGATCTTTCCTCTGGGCTTGGAGGAGCTGACCTTGGTTGGCTGGCCCAGGGGGAAGGGGGCTGTACTCTTTTGAGCTCGTCTCATTTATCTTTCACAATGACTGGACTCTCTGATCCTCAAGAGGAAAGTTAGGGAGGGTTAGAGGGGGCTGCCCCGAAATGGAATGTACCGCTCTGATGTGATCGTTTGCTAAGGGTCACTTCCGCCAGCTCTACAGACTAGGCCCTATGTTTGCTACTCAGAGAAGTCTTGGACAAAAGATGTCACCGGGAAAGAAACTCTGTTAACGTCTCTGTCGTGCGGAAGTGCTACCTTGTAGCCCCTGGGCACAGAAGCCCAGGCCAGGAGCCTGGATGGCTTTAGGATGAGACTCAACATGGAACTTGTCTTGGGCCCTGTGACTTGGCAATGTTGAAGTAGAATTGTGCGTCTTGCCCTTGTCCTCACAGTGGGACCCTAGGTGCCCCGCCTGGATTCACTCTATGTTGGTGGTCCCATCTTGGGTGTGGGCTCCGTGTAATGGAACAGCACTTGGGAACAGTTACCGGGGACAGGGTTAGAAGTGCCCACCCCTTCTGTGCACAGCGTGTCTGAACCTAGTGCAGCTTCAGGGCAAGCGAGGGGTACAGAGGGGAAGAGGCCCGCGGTGTGGCCGTTTTCCTTTGGAAAGAGAGAGTCTTTCTTCCAGCAGTAACCCTGGGAGAGGAACATGGGGGCAAGTTTCTCTGACATCCTTCTACCCTTTATTTTGTCAACATCCGAGGTGTCAGCGGGACCCAGGCTCCCCAGGAGACCGACGGCTGGAGGCCTTGTGAGCTGGGTGTCGCTATGCACCAGCATTGCTTGTCCTTTGGGCTCGGGCCTGGGAGTCTGCGGGATCGTTCTCCGCTCAAGTGATTTCCTTGGCGGATGTGCGGCGGGGCACAGAGCCCCAATGGCACTGTGCGGTGTCCATTCATAGAGAAGTAGCTTCGGGTTTGTTAATGATCTTTTTATGTGGTTAATGAATGTTTGTGCACAGACGTGGCCCGGGCCCAAGGAGAGCAAGGCAAGAGACCGTTATGGTGTGAGCTAGAAAGGAGGGAGTAGAGCTGGGGGTTACAGCCCAGGCTGTTGCTTTCTTTCCGCCTGTCTGCCCCTCCCCCAGGGATCACCTGCTGGGTCGCCCTGTATGCCGTGGAGGCCCTCCCCACCTGCCCTTTCTCCTGCAAGTGCGACAGCCGCAGCCTGGAGGTGGACTGCAGCGGCCTGGGCCTCACCGTGGTGCCCCCGGACGTGCCCGCTGCCACCCGATCCCTCTTGCTCTTGAACAATAAGCTGAGCGCCCTACCCAGCTGGGCTTTTGCCAATCTGTCCAGCTTGCAGCGCTTGGACCTGTCCAACAACTTCCTGGACCAGCTGCCCGGCTCCGTATTCGGGGATCTGACCAACCTGACGGAGCTTCAGCTCCGCAACAACAGCATCAGGACCCTGGACAGGGACCTGCTGCAGCACTCGCCCCTGCTCCGCCACCTGGACCTGTCCATCAACGGCCTGGCCCAGCTGCCCCCGGGCCTTTTCGATGGGCTGCCGGCTCTGCGCTCCCTCTCGCTGCGCTCTAACCGCCTGCAGAACCTGGACCGGCTGACGTTTGAACCCCTGGCAAACCTGCAGCTGCTGCAGGTCGGGGACAACCCCTGGGAGTGTGACTGTAACCTGCGTGAGTTCAAACACTGGATGGAGTGGTTCTCCTACCGAGGTGAGTGCTGCCAGCCCTGTCTGGGCCTGGGCGGTTGGCAGACCGATTCCTCCGCCCCATCCCTCCCCCCCTTTTCCTGGTGGCTGGGTGCTGACTCAGGGAGTGGGCTGGGGAAAGAAGAGGCCAACACAGCCTCTCTGTCAGCTAGGCCAGAAGGGTCGCAAGGCTCACCCCAGATGCCATCACCCTTCCCTCCAGCAGGAGAGAGGCTGGGGCTGCTCCCCTCTGCCCTCATGACTCCCTTTCTGCTCTGTGTTCCTCCCTGGCTCTTCTCTGACTCACTGTAACTTGATCTCCCTTTTGTAGATTTATTGAGGGAAACTAAAGACACAGTATAGTTTTTCTGGGCTCTGCTGTCCTACCAGGTATGCCTCTGGGCTTGCCTGGCAGGGTAGAAAGAGGAAGAAGATCCACCCTTCTTCTGAATAATACAGCCATCTCTTAAGTATCCCCCCTTATAGGAGGGTGGAATATAACTGAACCCACAGATAAAAATCAAATTTTCCTTTGGGTGGCGATGCCGACTTCCTCTCGTAAGAAGTTTTGTTATCAAAACTCCTAATAAGCCAGACGGTTTAAGTTTTACTTCCTCTCCCTTCCCCCTTTCTTTTACCTGAGAAAGTTCTGTGATGGCCTAGGAAATGATCACATGAAGTGAAGAAGAAGAAAAAAAAAAAAGGGCAAACAAGTGAGCACAGTGGTGAGAAGTGCCAGGTCTGGGTTTGAATTTCGGCTCTGCCACCTGTGAGCTGTCGGATCTTAAGAAAGTTGGTTAACCTCTCGGGGCAGCAGTGCCTCAGCTGTAGAATGGGAAGAAACCAATGTCTATCTCACAGGCGAGGGTTAAAGAAGGTAAATGCATGAAAAGTGTCCTGGAGGTGCCCAGTAAGTCCTCGATAAAGCATCCATGTATTTGCTCATTTGCTGGCAGGAGTCAAATATTAAGTGGATTGAATGAATGAAACACAGTTTGGTGCCCGGCACAAAGTAGACGTTCAGTGAAGGTTTGCCGAATGAGTAAATATTAAAACTCGCTGAAAATAACACCAACACTTTTCGTGAAAGTCTCGCTACTTCCGTTTCCTATCTGGTCACGATCTCAATTGTTTTCCTGAAATTCTCCTGTGTTAATTAGAAACGTTTTACAAACTATAAAGCACCATGAGATGTTAGTCACTGATAATTAATCCCGCTTTTGTGAGTGGTGATGAGTACTTGTATGGCTTCCAATTTACAAATATTTTTTCATAAATAGTGCGTTACCTATTTTAATCCTTATGGTAGCTAATTGAGATAGACATTTTACAGCTAAGAAAACTAAGACTCAGGCCAGGAGCGGTGGCTCACGCTTATAATCCCAGCACTTTGGAAGGCCAAGGCGAGAGGGCTGCGTGAGTCCAGGGGATGGAGACCAGCCTGGGTAACATATCGAGACCTTGTCTCTACGATAAATCGAGAAGTTAGCTGGGCATGGTGGCGGGCGCCTGTAGTCCCAGCTACTCGAGAGGCTGAGGCAGAAGGCTTAGCCTGAGCCCAGCAGGTCAAGGCTGCGGTGGTCATGATTATGCCACCCTGCACCTCAGCCTGGGTGACAGAGTGAGATTCTGACCCCCAAAAAGTAAGAAGGCAAGCAAGAACGAAAACTAAGTGTCATAAATAAATTAAATAATTTTCACAGGACGACACAGTCGGGATTCACCCTTGGGTCTCCGAAGCAGGAAATTGAGGGCTCACTCCCCTCACCCCCACCCCAGCACCCAGCTCTGTGGCCCCAAGCAGGGCAGATGCGTGCTTATTGGATAAGGCTTGCCGCAGGCCACCCAGGCAGTCAGCGAGCGGCACAGGGTTCCAGAGGCTAGGTGTCTTCAGACTCAGGCCAGTACGCCATCTTAGGAAACATCCTTGTCCTCTCAGACCGTCGTCGGGAACCGAATTCCCAGCACGTCACGGCACGCACATGGGAATGTGCCCTTTTCAGACCTTTTCAACAGCAGAGTGGCTTTCAACTTCGCTCTCCTTAAAATAAAATCCTGGGACGTTTTCCTCAGCATCCCGGGGAAAGATTGATGTCTATTGTGGGAGAGACTTGTGGCAGATGGGCTGGGAGAGGGAGTTGGCAGTGATGGCGTGGCTGGAGTAGGAGCCCATGCAGCAGGGGGTCCAGTGCCCGCGTCTGGATCTTACTGGAAGCTGAGAGAGGGCCACATCCAACCTTCGCTTTCTAGGGGATGTCTAGGCGGCTTGTTGTCCTCAGCTACCCTCTCTCTTGCCCACCCTGGCTCTGCATCTGTGTCTCCCCATCGTCATGAAGACGTCATGGTGAGCCCGTGTGCCCATCACGCCCATGCCTCCTCAGGAACTCTAGCTCTCCTCCTTGGTCTCATGTGTCCCTTTCCAGACGCCTTTGCACTCAGAGGACCTGTGGTCAGGTCACTCATGGAGACACTGGATTGGTCTTAAAGAGGAAAAGGAAAACCTTCCTGTCCAACTTTTCCCTCCCTATTCCAAGAAGGTGGTTGCCTATTTATTTACTTTTTTTTTTTTTTGAGTTGGAGTCTCACTCTGTCGCCCAGACTGGAGTGTAGTGGCCGCTCCTGGCCACCACAACCTCAACCTGCTGGGCTCCAGCGATTCTTCCACCTCAGCCTTCCAAGTAGCTGGAACTACAGGCGCGTGCTACCACACCCGGCAAATTTTTTGATTTATTGTAGAGATGAGGTCTCGCCAAGTTGCCCAGGCGGGTCTCAAACTCGCAGGCTCAGGCAATCCACTTACCTCAGCCTCCCAAAGGCGCGGGATTACAGGCTGAGCCACCGAGCCCAGTTTATTTACTTACTTTTTTTGAGTTCTGGTCTCACTCTGCCACCCAGGCTGGAGTACAGTGGCGGGATCATGGCTTATGGCAACCTTGACCTCCTGGGTTCAGGCAATCTTCCCACCTCAGCCTCCCGAGTAGCTGGGACTACAGGCGCTGCTAATTTTTTTATTTTCTTTAATAGAGACAAGGTCTATGATTGCCTAGGCTGGTCTCAAACTCTTGGCCTCGAGCGATCCTTCCGTCTTGGCCTCCCAAAGGGCTGGGATTACCGGCACAAGCCACCGTGTCCTGCCATGAGTTGCTTATTCTTAGGCAACCAATGGGTCCTGCATGAAGAGGAAGTGGCGGGGGGCAGTGGCTTTCGACTTTTGTCCCTTTGTGGGAGAGGGAAGAACCCTGGAGGGATAAGAGGTTGTGCTGAAAGCATTGCCTGCGGTTCACAGACAGGCTATGGGCAGGCACATTCAGGGGCAGAGGGTCCAGGCAGGCTCCCCCCATGGTAGCTTGGTCTTACCCCTGTGAGGCAGGCTGACCCTAGAGAGAGCAGGCTGGATTGAAATGGCTGTGTGCATTTCTATAAAATGGGGATAGTGATAATATCTATTTTACGCGGCTCCTGTGAGGATTAAATGGCACGATATACGTAACTCGCTGTGGGACTTGGCTCAGTCAATGCTGTCTTCCCTCCTCCGCTTCCTCTCCTATAGACGGCGCTTACAGGATTGACTACATTGCTGATAAAAAACGATGCCTTCTGGGCCTTCCGTTCTGGGGAGCTGGGGATGGGGAGAGGGCGTGCGGGTTCTGGGTGTCTGCTGAGCCCCTCCTTTCCTTCTCCCTGCATGCAGGGGGCCGCCTGGACCAGCTTGCCTGCACCCTCCCCAAGGAGCTGAGGGGGAAAGACATGCGCGTGGTCCCCATGGAGATGTTCAACTACTGCTCCCAGCTGGAGGACGAGAATAGCTCTGCTGGGCTGGATATTCCCGGACCACCCTGCACCAAGGCCAGCCCCGAGCCTGCTAAGCCCAAGCCTGGGGCTGAGCCCGAGCCAGAGCCCAGCACAGCCTGCCCGCAGAAGCAGAGGTACCGGCCAGTGAGCGTGCGCAGGGCCATCGGCACCGTGATCATCGCGGGGGTCGTGTGTGGCATCGTCTGCATCATGATGGTGGTGGCCGCGGCCTATGGCTGCATCTACGCCTCCCTCATGGCCAAGTACCACCGGGAGCTCAAGAAGCGCCAGCCTCTGATGGGGGACCCGGAGGGTGAGCACGAGGACCAGAAGCAGATTTCTTCTGTGGCCTGAGCGCCCCCCTCGCCCCACCTGACCCAGGTAGGAAGGACAGGGGAGCACCCCGTGGATGGCTCCGTCACTCCCACTGCCCTGGCCTGGCCCTGGCCACTGGCTCTCCCAAGTCCGCCCACTGCCCCGTCCCTTCAGCAGATGCGTCGCAGGGTGGCTCTCTCTGTGAATTTCAAATCTCCCTGGACACCGCTGTGCTCAAGGCTCCGGTTGATGCTCCTCTCTGGGCCACCACGTCTTGGGACATCTGGGGGGGGGTGTCTCCCTAAGCTTCTGGCCACAGGAAAGAAAGAACACAGGTGCAGAAGAAGGCTTGGACTGCACATTCCCCTGTAGCCCTGGGGGCGGTAACAGCCGGGCGACTGTTCTTACCTCTTGCTTGTCCTCACCCCATCTGCACCGAGGGTGTGGGGAGGGGGTGAGCTGGGGGCCGGGGGTCGACTTGGCAGGGTCTCTCCTAAGCCAGAAGGATATTCTTAACCCCCTGCAGAGTGAATGCTGGGTCCAACTTTCAACCGCTGGTACCGGCGTGCAACCACACCGACCCTATCATCTGGACCCTGCGCCTAGAAACACAATGCTGTGATGATAACACACTCTCTCGGCTGATGCCGTCATGACCCCATATCTGCTATAGGCTACATTGCTCCTGGATTCACTCATTCTCTTTTGCACAACTCATAGCATCACCAGCGCAGTCACACAGACGACAGTTCTCGTGCGCGCGCACACACACGTGCGCGCACACACACGGTCACATGGAGACGAAGTCTGTGAGAACGCGGGCAGCAGAGACACTCTCTTCCCCCGGGGTCTCAGGCCTGAGACCACAGGGCCTCTTGCCTGCTTACTGCAATCTTCTCAAGCGAATAGGGGCAGGATCCCAGACCGGTAACACCAGGATCCTTTGAGATCCTCTAAAATGGGCCAGAGCGGTGGCGCTGGAGGAGACTGTCCCGTCACCATGGTAACCCACTCACACCTTTCCTACGGGGCTTCCCGGGGACACCGGCCCAGGGCCTGGAGCCGCTGCATGTGTGAACGGCAGCCTGCCGAGAGCCCAGCCACACCCCGCTGGCGTCACCCCGGTCCTGCCCAAGCACGTCATCGCCGCCGGGCCCCGTGGGGACACCCACTGGTTCTGCTCCTGGAGCCTGCTGTGTGGCACTGTCACCTGGTATCACTTGGTACCCCTACCCCTCCATCTCCAGCATCTTCTGGCCTGTGACCTCGGCGCAGCGGTGCTCTGTGATTGGTGGCACTCTTTGGGGAAGACAGGTTGCAGGAGGAAGGCACAGCGGCTTTTGCCAAAGCTCTGCCACCTGCCAACTTATCCCATGCAGATTTCAGGAGCGGGGAAGGATGGCCACGTGCCATCCAGAGGGGGCTCCCTTCCTAGGTTTCGTCGGCTCAGACGGGTTCCCTACAGCATGTCATTGTACCTGGAGTGGGGTTCAAACCAGAGAGTGGGCTGGGGGTCCTGTCTGGGACAGAATCACCTGCCTCCAGGGCTGTGCGAGTTTTGAGGGTCACTTTTCTCCTTTTTTAGCTCGGCCCCCTCTTCGCGGGTCTGAGAGGGTCAGGCGGAGTCAGGCTCGTTTCTGGCTCTTGGCGGGAGGGAGGGTCTCGACGGTGGCTGCAAAGGGTCTGCAGAGCGAGTCAAGGCAGGCCTGGTCCCCCTGGCCCCCTACTCATAGAGCAGTGGGTGGGTGAAGTGAGTCGCACGGCGGAGGAGGAGTTGTTCTCAGCAAGTGGACAGAGGCCACCCTCCCAGGCACAGGTTCCCGATCAGAATCACAGGCCTCCCCTAGGCTGGGGCCACAGTCTTCCTCCTCCTTTTGGCTTGTGGGCTGATACCAGATCTGGGATTTTCTAAAGGGACTGGGGGGAGGGGAGGGCATCGTCAACGGTGGTATCTTTAGCCTGAGACAGAAGATTTTTAAAGGCAAAATTATATTTCTGGTTTGTTGTTTCAGAAGACCAATAAAGACTGTATTTTCCTACATACTTCCTGGTTTCATTGGGTGGGAAGGGGACGTGGGTGCTGGGAGAATCGCTTCCTGCCCCCACAAGTTCCCAGAGAGCTGAACAAAATGCTGACGGACATCACCCTGATGCACAGAGCTCCCTGCGACAGACGGGCACCTCCTACCTAGGGCCTAGGGCCTCGGGTCAGCACGGGGAGAGACAGGGAGGCTGAGTCCTGCACAGAGAGAGGCTCTGTGGCTGAGGGCAGCAAGCCCAGGGCATGGCAGAGCCAGGGTTTTAAGTCCACCCCCGCTCTGGCCTGACAGGATGGCTATGTGACCCTCAGGGTGGCTTCACTGGGCAGCGCTGAGGCACATGGAGTGAGGAAGGTGAGCCAGAGAGCCTGCCACGGCCCCGCACCCTGCGGGTGGCATCCGCCCTGGCTTGACGTGAATCGGCCCTGGCAGTCGGGACAGATGGGCCTGTGTGGCATGAAGGCACTTGCCCAGAGGATGCTGCTGCATGATGGGAGGTGGGGGCAGTTTAAGGAGCTTCTCTGCTGGCTGAGTGGGGGTGCCGACGGGGAGGAGGGCCCGTTTAACCCAGAACCGGCTTGCTCATTCAAGATTGACTCCAGGCACAGACAGACCACACTCTGGGCTTACGAGTATGACTCATCCATGGAGCTCAGCAGGTGGGGACTCCGAATTATAGACTGAAGGGCTGGGAAGGGGGTTACGGGGGAGAGGGGATGAGGAAGAGCGTGAGGCCTCTTGGATTATCAGCGCACTCCAAGCCCGTGTGAGGGACAAGACTCCCTGGCTGACCAGTGACCCTCCTCGAGGGCAGGACTGGCCTCTGGCTGACCGCGTCTGGGTTCTGTGGTTCATTAGTCTGCAGAGACCAAGATGGAATTTTCTCCTTCCTGAGAACCTTCCTTTGGATGCCAACCCATTAAGCCAGGAGCAAACCCCAGAGGGAGGTGAACCAGCAGGGGCTCCGTGGAGTTCGGCTCCCTTCCTTGACAGAGCTGGGCTGTTCACCCTTCTCGGGTGGTGAATGGGTAGAGATGGCGCCTTCCTCCAGCCCTGATAGTTACAGCAGACCCCAAGACAAGTCTTCCCAAACCCCGCTGCAGAAGTGGGGGACCAAGTCTCTTCCAGGCCTGGTGCAGGGCTCTGTGGTGTGTATACATGTTACTCAAATGTCATGGTTCCCAGAGAGAAGCCCATAGAGATCCAAAGGCCAAATCCATACTGGGTAGAGCTCTCAGGAAAGAGACCTCATGCAGTCCAGACTGCAGAAAAGGCCTCTGTGAAGGACACGTATAGATGATAGGACATGCTGGAAGAATGCCCACCTGCTGGAGAGACACTGTGTATCATGGTTCCACCGTCACTAAGCTTGGCCACGATACCCAGCTAGAGCCTGGAGGATGTGGAGAACTGAAGACGGATCCTGATCGAAAAGTTAGATTTCTAGAAATTTTGCTTGAGCTGTTGCTAAATCACCTGCTTAGAGATTCACACGCTCCCCCCTCATCTACCACCCTTCTGTGTGTGTCCGTGGCGTTACACACGGCAGGGACTCGCAGCAGGCAGCTGACCCCGGGGCCGGGCTGAGTGCCTGTCTCCTACCTCTTCCCTGTGCTCAGTGCTCAGTCACCCTGCAGCCCCCACCGTAGACACCACACTCTCCAGGCCGGTTGCACACACACACACACACACACACACACACACGCGCGCGCGCGCGGTGCCAGCCATTTCCAGGGACGGCAAAAGAGCCACCTACTCGTCCCTGAGCCGCAGGCCCCAGCTGTCCCCACGATCAGGGAGGCTGAGCCACAGGCCGGGGAGAGGAAATGACAGAAGGAGACCCCAAGAGAGATAATCATGGAAGCATCAGGTCTCCAGCGCCTCATCCTTTCCCTCCCGCAACCGTGCACCCCAGAGCGTAAGAGCGATTGTCTGCAGTGAGTTAAACCGGAGGCACTGGGACACCGTTGCTATGGCAACCTCGCTCGGCTCTAATTCAGCTCCGAGTTAAAAATGCTATCAAATAATTGGAGACTGCGGGAAAGCACAGCCGGCAGCCTGACCCCCTGTCCCTTCTCCCTAGACCTTCGGGTGCACAGGAGCTGAGAGGGCCCCCATCATGGGGTAGGGGAGGGGGAACAGGACAGGCACAGGCTCGGTTGGGACCACAGAAGGGGTCTGTAGGGAGACGAGTTTGGGCGCAAAGTTTGGAAAGGGGAAATGGGTCTGGGATGAGTGTGCCCTGAGCTAAAGGAAGCAGGCGGCCGGGATGACACGAGTCCCTCCCAAAAGCTGCAGGCGGCTGTATCGCAGACTGCCAGCGACGCAAACGCTTCCTGACGAGGCCGCTGAGTTTTGTGAGAGGAGCCATTCTTTCTCCCCAGAGTGGCAAGCAGCCCATGCCCCTGACTCAGGACGCCCCGGTGCCCTCTCTGAGGCTTGAGGACAGGGCCTCGCCGGCTCCCTCCATCCCCTTTGTCCTGTCCCTGCCTGCCCAGTCCCAGTGCAGTTGCAGGAGTCCTCCCTCACCCGGCCGGGGTCCTGAGACATAAGTCGGGCACCTGACAGCCCGGTCCACGGAGCCAAAAAGGCCAATGCGTGAGTGCCCATTGGATGGCACAACTTTTCAGAATGCAGCTGGGTCTGGGACACAGAAGCCAAAACAGGGGTGAGGAGGGCTTCATCGTGGGGCCTGTTGGTTCTCAGACAGCGAGGCAGAGATGCCAAGGATGCTGTATGCACTGAGAACCTCAAAGCCGGGAGGAGCTTGTGGGTGTCACGGGGTGCTCTCCTCCCAGAAGTTGTGGCAAACTACAGTGCAGGGTCGTGATGCGGAGTCTTAAAAAGAGGTGGTCTGTGTTCAAATTCTGGTTTCATTATTAGCTGTGGGACTTTGGGCAAATAACCCTTCTGTGTCTCAGTTTCCTCATCTGTAAAATGGAGCCAAAAGAACATTGCCTCCACTGGGTTACCCTGAAGACTAAATGAGAAAGTGCACGGGAGGCGGTTTCCACGGTGTCTGGCACACACTAAACACACATATTGAGCGCTTACTCTAGGGCTTTGAGTCACAAGCACAATTCCCTCTGGAGGGGGATGCCAGAGCCCAAGGCAACCTGCAGAGCGGTAGGGAGGAAGACCGGGGTGCAGTCTCCGTCCTATGTGACCTTGAGTGGCTCTCTCAATTTCTCTGGGCTTCATTTTACTCACTGCATGGATTCTTTTAGATCTAAGGTGTTATGGTTTTGTAGACGAAATGGCTCAGGAAGACGCCACTTCCCTTTCCACCCCGCATTTCACCTGGGCAAACCTACAGCCGGAGGACTGTGGTACCACAGCCCAAGGGAGGGATCCTCCCGCTGTCACCCTGGGCCTTAACCTTGACACTGACCCACAACTTCCTGGCCTCAGTGGCACAAAGGGCCGCTCCTACCTGCAGCAATGGCTGTCTTCTTGTCCACCGTCACAGCTACCACCGTGCTTGCCGTCACCACCACTGGCTCACCCGTACTTTCTGGAGAAGCAAAGATGACCAAGTCGCTTTCTCAGCATCCGAGAAAAGGGCAGGGGTTGGGGCAGGTGGTGTCCTGGCACTCCCCTGGACAAATATCAATAGCAGCTATTCCCCTGGGAATAACAGAGGCGGGGAGGGGTTGTGTTTGGCAACATTGTTGCTGTTGTGATGACCTCACCACTGGTTTTATGACGGTCAGACGCTGCCCACCACTTGTGCACACCAGGACTGGTCAGACACACGCATGGCCCCTGGCTGCCCAAATGGAACACCCAACACTTTGTGGGATTTCTGCCTGTCTGCTTGCTGCGGCCGTCCACACAGCACACATCTGACCTGGATTACTCACGCTACGCCGAATGATCCCCTCCAGTGGGAGGACAAGCTGCGTTTCAGGCCTGTGTGGTGTGGGTGATCCTGGGTTGCCCTTTGTGAGACAGTGTGTGTCAGAGGAGATGCTGGCATGTCAGTTTCATTCAGGAAGTCAATGCCAAGGCTGGGCCGCACATCGGAGGCACTCCATTGGTCCTGGGCATTATGGTGACAATTTTTTTAGAGACGGGGTCTCACTATGTTGCCCAGGCTGGTATCAAATGCCTAGCCTCAAGCAATCCTCTTGCCTCAACCTCCTAAAGTGCTGGGATTACAGGTGTGAGCTACTGTGGCCAGCCCATCTCAGCCTTCTTAATTCTCATCAGTCTGTGTCCCTGGGTTGACTTTTCAAAGTACTGTTGTCTGCAGGTCAAATGCTACTACTAAAACCTCCAAGAAAGGGGCAAAATTTTATGATGTGCTATCGTATTTCGTTAGAATGTGTTGATATCGGACGTGGCACGGAGCAAACAGGTCATGGGAATCTTGAGTGGAGACTGCTGTTACAACAGTGTCACTTGTCACGGGACTTAACCACTGGCTTCTTGTGTCTGCTACATTGCCAAGATTACCCATCTCACCTTGCTGTCATCAAATATCTCACAGGAACCTAAAAGTAAACTCTGATTCTAGGAACCTACATTTTGTAAGGTTGTCCTCGATTCTAGGGATCTGCCATGATGAAGTAGAAGGGACCACAATTCCCCACCTTGCATCTAGAAACATCTAGAAGACAGCGATGCTGCTGACCTCCTGCAGTATTTTGGGGCTCTGCAGCCTGCCTTCCACTGTGTGTGTGTGACGCTTCCGACCACGAAACACCCAAGTGAGGGTGTGAAGAGACCCTGACGACATGGTCTCTGGGGACCTCAGGAATATCAGTGTCTGGGTCACAGTGGTTACCTAGCCCGTCACCTGGGGTTAGTGAGCAGAGTACCACGTGTGGGTGGGTGGGGCCCAGGGCTGGTCCACGGACAGGCGGGCTGGACGGCAGAGGATAGGCTAGGCCACGTGGGCACTGGTGAGA